CTGCAGCAAGTCTAGGGCAGGTCCAGGTTGGAGTTGACAGGGAGAGGCTTCCATTAGCTGTCTGAAGAAAGCTCAGAAACATTAATTGGACATCATGAGCTTTCTTACTTCATCTCCAGCACAAAGTTGTCCATGTAATTATAATCATAGAATACTAGGACTGGAAGGGACCGCGAGAGGTCATCAACTCCAGTCCCCTGCCCTCATGGCAGGGCCCAGTACACTCTAGACCATCTCTGATAGACATTTATCTAACCTGCTCTTAAATATCTCCAGAGATGGAGATTCCACAACCTTCCTATGCAACTTATTCCAGTGTTTAACCACCTTGACAGTTAGGAAGTTTTTCTTCATGTCCAATCTAAACCTCCCTTGCTTCAGTTTGAGCCCATTGCTTCTTGTTCTATCCTCAGAGGCCAAGGAGAAGAATTTTTCTCCCTCCTCCTTGTGACACCCTTTTAGATACCTGAAAACTGCTATCATGTCCCCCTTCAATCTTCTCTTTTACAAACTAAAGAAGCCCAGTTCTTTCAGTCTTCCTTCTTAGGTCATGTTCTCTAGACCTTGATAAAGACAATGCTTTATTTAAAGTGTCAGGGAGTTTCCATTTTACTCATCTTTGCAAGAAAGCAGTGACTTTTTGGGAAAGGTACATTTGCTTGTGTAGACACTCCAGTTACACATCTATTAGGGAAGAGCAAGAATTGGATGGACCAGGTAAGTGAATCACTGTAGATACCCAGAAGTGGTTACTGAAAACATCAATGATACAGGAAGTCTCCATATGCTGATACAGGAAGTCCCCACCTCTTTGCAACTAAATACAATGCAAAATGTCAAGCTTTGTTTTAAAACAGTGAGATATATATTTTGGAAGCATTACTCATGTCCTGGAAAAACCTAAAAAACAACGAATAGTCTTGCAGCACCTTCGAGACTAACAAAACATGTATGGTATCATGAGCTTTTGTGGGCACAACCCACTTCTTCACATGAATGCCAGTCTTTCTTGTGCCTTCCCTCCTATAAACCTAAACTGCTGGATTAAAAAGAAAATAAAACGGGACAAGGCAAAGTTCACTCTAATTGCACCCACTTGGGCCAGACAGCAATGGTTCACAGATCTCTTGTGCTTTTCAGCAGGGATTTATGAAAAACCCTTGCTCCTTATTTGCACGCTAAGGTTATGTCTACACAGCAGCGTTATTTCGGAATAACTGACATTATTCCGAAATAAGAGCGTGTTTACACGGTGAGCCATTATTTCAAAATAATTGTGAGCTGGAGGACTTCTAACCCTCTTTTTACGAAGAGTAAGGGAAAAGTCGAAGGAAGAGTAGTGTTCACTCCTAGCTGCTGCACTGCTCTAGCCCGTGGGGATCCTTTCCCCCAGCCAGCAGCGGTTGCTCTCCTCCAGTTGCAGGGTCTCTGTGCCCCCACCCAGAGGCTTCCTGCCCAACTCTACTCCAGCTGCTGCCTACTGTTGGCCACTGGCTGGGATTCCTTTCCCTAGGCCACTGCCCCTACAGGCTGCCTGCTGGCTGAGCTTCCAACTGTGGCTGGGACTCTCTGGTCCAGTGACATCCGTGGTCCTTCCAGACCATAGAAGTTGCCCAACCACAGACATTCAACCTGTACTGTTTTTTTACAAGGCCATTCTACAGTTGCAGCCACATCTGCCCTTCCTTCCAAAGGTAATTTTGCAATTCCACATGAGCTGGGACATTTTTCTTCCAGTGTTTATTTTTTTTTTCCCTAAGCTAGTAACCATGAATGGATGATCCTCCTTGAATGTCAGATGAGCACTGGCTTTTCACATTGAATGGACAAAGCTGTTTTTAAAATCAGTGCAGCTCTTCACTGCGGTTAATGAATAGATGAGGGGGCTCCTGGTATCATTCTAAAGGGGATCTCATCCCGGGTCAAGCTTTTCTGGGACCTAGCTTAAATATTTGCCCCAGCTTTAATGGTGCTTTCCACAAGAGCACAGGCTTCCTCAGAAGCCTTCCTGGCGCAGTTCCCCATTCAGAATAGATGCAAGGTGGCAACATGGCCATTGAGCCATACCCTTATGTCACACTTAACCATTACTCAGCAAACTAGAGATGATGCTGCATTTGGCAGACCAGTCCTGCAGTCTGTGAATCTGTGAACTTCAACCCCTTCTGCTCTGGAAATTCTTGGGAGTTAGTTTCTTGGACTTGATGTGCGCAAGCACTTGAAGAAGAAAGGATCGTAACCTTTCATAACTGTTGTTCTTTGAGTTGTGTTGCTCGTGTCCATTCCAAGACACCACCACCACCTACTCCTCTATTGGATTACTCCTTCAAGAAGGAACTGAGGAATCAGTGGTTTGACAGGAACCCATTTTCCGCCATGAAGGTGCAAGTCCAGGGGGCTTCACCCCTGACCTGATGGGGACCACTATGGGAAATACCTTCTGAAAACCTTGCGTGAATGTGCATATGTGTACTTGGAATGAACATAAGCAGCACATCTTGAAAAACAAGTTTAAAAAGTAGGTAACTGTTTTTATGGCTGATATCTTAATCTCTCTTTCTCTTGTTAATTCTTTGAAAAAAGCATTTGCTGCAGAGATTTGATATTTTATTAACTGAAAAGCAGTGTGTTACTGTTGGACAGGCTGAACATTGAGAGATGATGTTGCTGAGCCTTTTCCCTTTCATGCTTTTTCTCTGAAACCCTCCTCTGTTGTATGGTACCGTTTCTTTAGAGCAGAAATCAAATGAACATGTTAGTCATTTTCACATTTGATAACAATTCAGCAAGCACATATTACTCTTGACACTAGAATTTTACTGTAATTTTTATGGTTTGTTGTACCTCTCCAACTGCGCTTGTGTGTATGTACTCTTATTTTTGTAGGCATTGAACCACACTCATGGTATCTATAATGCAAAAATTACTTGGTTTTTAAAAAGTAATAGCAAGGAGTCCAGTTGCACTTCAAGACTAACAAATTTATTAGGGCATAAGCTTTTCATCAGATGAAGTGAGTTGTATTTCACGAAAACTTATATCCTCATAAATTTGTTAGTCTTTTTAAAGTGTCAACCGACTCCTTGTTGTTTTTAGCTGAAACAGACTAACACGGCTACTCCTCTAAAAAAAGTAAAGCTGCTTGTTATATCTTCAGTGAATAAATCCCCAATGCTTTTATTTAAAGTTTCCCTCATCTTCTTTTGAGACATGTTTCCCATTCCACTTCATTTGAACCTTAGTTGTTAAGCAGGTATGCTGTTAAGCAGGTGAGGTATAAGTATTTTCGTGCCATGCTTAATATGTCTAAGCTGAAATAATAAGTGCCTATCTTGTTTAAATAGGTTTTCTATAGATTGGGAATACATATTGATATTTGGTAAGCATTCGTAAAAATAACCTTAGCACTGATGATAGCCACATACAAATATTTGTATCTCCTCAGTAATGTTGAGGTAGCAATGGACTCATGATTTGACCAGTTTTTTATTTTTAATATGAGATGTCCTTAACAGCTGATTTTACTATGAGGAAGCACTTCTTGGATCTACTTTGGGAGCTGTTACAGGGTTGTGACTCAGACAATCTGGGCTCTGTTCCTGGCTTGTCCACAGATTTTGTTTGTTTAACTTGGGGCAAATTAAAAATCATACATCTGTGTGAATACAGTAAAACTCCATTAGTCTGGCATCCAATGCTCCGGGACTCCTGGTGGTCCGGCACCATCAGGAACCCGGAAGTGCTAGGGCAGCCGGACAGAAACTGCAGAAACTGACCAGCAGAAACTGACACAAAACTGCAGAAACTGACCAGCAGCTGAATCGAGGAAGCCGGGAGCAGAGCAGCTGGGGTGCTGCCGGGTTGGTCTGGTAGTGCTGCCCCTCGGGGAGCAGCTCTGCCCGGGGCTTCCTGGAATCAGCCGCTGATCTGTTTCAGCAGCGGTTGAATCGGGGACCCCTGGGGCAGAGCAGCTGGGGGCCTGCCGGGTTGGTCCCGCAGCGCCGCCCCTTGGCGCTGTGGGACCAGCCCAGCAGCACCCCAGCCGCTCTGCTCCCAGC